TGGCATTTTGCAAACCTCTAGCTCAGGGGGGTTGGGGGATGTAGGGTGTTGTCTTTTATTTGGTTGTTTGGTCTGGTTTGTTGTTGGCGTGTATGTGTGGGTTTTTTCCTTTGTTTTTCTCTTCTTTTTTTTTTACAATCACTCTTTATAAAGAACTGGTGTGTGGGAAGGCAGACAGAACAGAATGCTAATTCTCCTTCTCCCCGAGTTGCCCCTCCCAGTTCTAATAGACGCTGCAGACTGTCTACCTTCATCCTTATTATGCTTTTTGACACCCTAATATGATAAACAGGACATTAATAATTATTACATTATTAACAAACACCATTAGCAGTATTTTCCACATTGTTAACATGGCTTGACAGATCACTGGAGGTTAATGAAAGAGTCTAGCTGGACCTTTTGAAACAACCCTCCATGTTATTTTTCAGTGCAATTCGCTATGGATAGTTGAGCATGTTATTTCAAATCCCCAAGATGTTAAAGTAGTTTGAGCCTCACTTTTTAGAAAAATGTCAGAATTGCTGAGTGAAGTTATAGGGCCATCATTTAAGTAGGTCAGAACAGATGATCTTACAGGCCTTTCCTGACCTTATAGAACTACTAATCTAAGAACGGTTTCTCTAGTGAGATAGGAACTCATCCATCAAGGCCTTACAAAGCCATATAAATTCTTTAAGGCAATTTTAATTAAAAAGTGTGGGTTTGGTTTTTTTTTTGGTTTTGGTTTGTTCGTTTTTTTTTTTTAAACCAAGACAAAGCAAGCATACTCAGCTCTGAGGCTGATTTGCTCAGTGAAAATGCATTGGAGTTATACAGTCCCCTATCCTGGGAAAAGTCAGCACTCCTTAAAATGAAGACTTGCAAAGACTCATCTCATGACCCTCTTCCATTTTAATTATAGATTTCTCTTGTGAAAATACTGTTCTCATGAAGCTGATATCCAGATCACTGTACGGTTGATTGGACAGCATTCTCCACTGTTACTGACTGCCAGGTTTTTATGTTTGTTCTACCCATAGAATCATAGAATATCACAAGCTAGAAGCACCCCATAATGTTCACTGACTGCAAATCAGATTTCTCCCGAAGGCCTCTCTACCCTGGAGGGAGTCCATGGTTCCTCCTAGTTTAGCACCATCAGCAAACATACATTGATGAATACTTTATTCCTGCAACCAGATAGTTTATAAAAACATTAAAGACCACTGTCCCTAAAATCAAGCTCTGGGAAAACCCACTTCTCACTGACTGCCAGCCTGATATAACCCCATTTACTAAAACTCTCTGAGCCCTACCTTTCAGCCAATTAGTCACCCACTGTATTATGGACTTGTTTAGCTGTTTCCTGGACATTTTGTCCAGAAGGATATGGTAACAGACAATATCAAAAGCTTTGCTAAAAGCAAAACCACTCTACATCTGCTGGCTTCCCTTAGTAAACTAGATGGGTGAGCTTTTCATAAAAGGAAATTATCGGTTAAGCAGGATTTTCCCCTTGTGAACCTGTGCTGGCTATAACCAATGACTGCATTGTCTCTCAAGTGTTTTTCAATAACTCCCAGAAAACATTCTCCATAATTTTACTAGTCAGTGAAGTGAGACTGACAAGCCTCTAATAACCAGGGTTTCCCTTTTACCCTTCTTGAAAGCTGGCACAACTTTTGCCAGACTCCCAAGACCATTGCCAAATAGTGGAGAGAGGTCCTAAAATAACAACAGCCAGCTCTTTCAGTACCTTGGGATGAACCCCATGGCACACCACAGACTTATATGCAACCAGCTGGAGCAGCAGTTTAGAACAAGTTCAGAGTCCACTGGGACCTATCATTCTCCCACTCACAGTCTTCCAGCACTGGGCTCCATGGGTCCTAAGGCTGATCATCAGTGTTGAAGACAGAGGCAAGAAGGCATTAAACTACTCTGCTTTACCTACACCCCTATTTGTGAGGTGGCTGGCCTCATCAAGTTATAGACAAATATTATCTCTGATCCTCTTTTTCCTGTTAACATCTTTTAAAAAACCTTTTCGGTTGTCCTTCATAGTACTGATCATCTTGAACTCTCATCAAGGTTTGGCTCCATGAATTTTCTCCCTACAGTGGTGAACAGTATCTCTGTAATTCTCCCATGTCACATGTCCTTGCTTCCAATGTCCACATACTTTATTTTTCTGCCTAAGTTCTAGACAAAAAAATCCCTGCCCAGTCAAGTCACCCTTCTGCCCCAGTTGCTTGATTTCTGGCACTTTTGGAATTTCCCACTCCTGTACTCTAAGACATGGCTTTTAAAAAGTGACCATCATTCATGGACACCAATACCTTCAAAAGCAGATTCCTGGGGGACCTAACTAGCTTCTTCAACTGCCCTGCTCTTTTCCATACAAGAAGATGCTATGCAATTCTTATTAATGATACAGGTGAAGATAAGCAACAGACTTAATAAGGTGTTAAGGGGATAAAAAATAAAAAAGCAGGGAAAATACTCTTTTCTTATCTACCTAGACTGAGAGTCTAGCAGCTCAGAATCAAGTCTAACCCCAAAGTAAAGAATATAAATTAAGCAATTTTATTGCACCAATTTTGTTAGTGAGAGGCAAGTTTGAGCAGAAAGTACCAGGCGCCCGAGAGCTGTTTCCAAAAATATCTAGGTCAAAGCAATTACTCTGAGTGGAAGCAAAACAAAAATCTTTCTTGTTTTGCTTAGTAGTGATGTCCAAGGTCTTTGTGCAGGTGCACGAGGTGTTGGCATTTGACAGTCTTGAAGTTCACCCTGTAGAAGCTCCTGCTGCTGCAGTACAGTATAAGCAGTATGGTATCTCTTAAGTAGCACGCAGTAAGACTTACCAGATACTTCTCAGAAGTGAGACCAGTGAGCCTGACAACAAGGAAAATGAAATGCTACAGTGGAGGCTGGCAAGAGGAATATGTTCATAGTCTGGCCTAAATCTTGATTAAGAAACACTCAAGAATTTTCAGTAGTAAAATGATGGCATTGCAAACTTTTTTTTTGCCCCTCGTGTCAGAATTGTTTTACTTAGGAGAAAGAAACAGCCTTGAAATTGGACATTAATTTGTATTAAGGTTGCTAACAAAGGACTCACCATGGCATGGTTTAATGTTCAAAGCACACTGCAAAGCAGATTATTATCTGTAATAAGGCATTGAGAATCCCTATTAATAGGGGCCTTGCCTTTTTTTGCATCAAGAAAGTGGAGACAAATTCATGAAGCAAAATACTTTCAAGCACAGCTAAGCATGAATTGCCAATAATCCAGGCCTTGAACACTGTGAATTGCAGAGACCTTGAACTATTAAAGTCTCTTTTGGTGGTAGATCCCATTTCTCCATGCCTTATTGATAGCTGTTTGTAGGATTTTCCAATTCTCAGTTTTCCAAATTGACATACATTTATCAAAATGCACATTTCCTGCTTTTTCATAAAGCAAATTAGCAATTTGCCTATTGCATCTCTCTCTCTGATTTAAGAGAAGTAAAATAACCAGGATCCCGTGGTTTCTGACAACAGGTGAGCAGAGCAGAGTTCCTGAAGCACTGGGTGACAGAGCTCATGATATTAACCCCAACTGGCTTCTGTTGTCATAGTGAGTTTGGAAATGTAGAGTCAAATTTAAGTACTTCCCTGGTACCATCCTGTAATATCATCGCTACTCTTGCTACAGAGATGACGTGAATCGTAAATGGGGAATTTCTATGGAACAGATTCTTTCTCATGGCATCATCTCTGCTATGAAAATTGTAAATCTCTACAATTTATAGCAATATAGGACCTGAAAAAATCCTGGTTTTCTAGAGGTGCTTAAACTTTAATGTATGAATGTGTTGCCCAGGGAAGTTGTGAATGCTCCATCCCTGGCGGTGTTCAAGGCCAGGTTGGACAGAGCCTTGGGTGAGATGGTTTAGTGGGAGGTGTTCCTGCCCATGGCAGGGGGGTTGGAACTAGATGATCTTAAGGTCCTTTCCAACTCTGACTATTCTATGATTCTATGATTAAGCATGATTCACCCACTAGGATGCAGCCTGATAACAAAAGTATTGCAAAACACTCAGTTATGGTGTCTTACTGTTTGTTGACAGCTAGAAAATACAAAAGCTGCAACTGGGGGTAGGAGAATGGGGGAAAAGGAAGGGTGATTCTAATTGCAACAGCAATTGCTTCCCATAGGACACTACAGAAACAACATACTGGAGTTTGCAGGTGCAAGACCTTGAGATTAAGAAACTGCAAATCAGAGGCTAAGAGCACCCTGTGGGAGCCATCCTCTTATTTTGTTTGTCTTCTTCTTTGCAGGAGGTACAGTTCAGCTGAAGTGCTCAAGTAACAGGGAGAAGTAACCTGGCTTTCAGGATGCTCATTACTCTTGTGCCAGCTCAACCAGAGCTGAGGACGAAACCTCCACCAAAACAAAGAGAAAGCATCTCTTCTGTCCTGCTAGGTACCTACTGCAGTTTTACACTATTAAACATGCCCTGCAAGAGAAACAAGAGCGGCTTTGTTCTGTTTCTCAGCAGCTCATGCAGAGTTTGAACTGAAGCAGCAGGCTGGAAACCCCCTCACCGCTCTCTCCTTTACTTCCACTGTGTCCAAAGGATCAAGAGACACGCACTCCCAGAGCATAGACAAAGCTTCAGGCACAGAGTGCAACTTTCCTCCACACATAACCAGATGGAGATATTCTAACTGGGAATAAAAAGGGATGGCTTTTATTTTCTCACCTTTGGGAAACATTTTAAGAGCTACCCTGGTGAATTCCTACCCATTATTCCACATGAATTACTCATTATTTTCATTAAGGAAACCCAAGCCGTGATACAGTCATGTAGATGAAAGAAACCTGTAATGTTCTCTCTCCCCCATCATACGTTTTCATTTTTAGATTACTCTTAATCTGTATATACTCGAATTAGGAAAATGTATAGGGTTTATTAGCAATCAAACTTTAGGATTTTTTTCCCCTACTGATTTTTCATAGATTTATGGATCCACAATCATTCACGTCACAGCCTGAGGGAGATGAGGCTAGAACAGGATAATAGCCCTTAAATCCCCTTCTCTAAGCACTCAGATCTTCGCTGTCAGCAAGATTAAAACGGTCAACTGCAGTCTTCATGTGTCTGTTTCCCACACGGAGCTTTAACAACAACTGGCATGTTGGCTGGCATGGAAGAAAATGCAGAAACACTGCTGTGCGTGACAGTACTCAGATAAAGAAAGAAGAAAACAGAACTGTCATCCTTTGTAGTGTTAGAAGGGACTGGTTCTAATTCCTTGATCAGGTGACTGCAAAGAAGGGAGAAGAGTAAGGAAAAATAATATGTTGCAGTTTAACATGCGGCGACAGTTTCCTTTCCTAAAACATACAGGCAGAGAGAGGGAAGCACCGAACGTCCTCCCACAGCCTGACAAGGGGAAGGACAATGAAGGCATGCATGTAGACTGGCAGAGTGGCTTTTCTGCTACTGCTCCATTGAACTCCCAGCACCTACTGCTCCTGGGACCTGAGGGAAATTACAACTATTATGTGGACGATGAAGATGAGGAAGAGGAAGAGAAAGAACAAGGAAAATGGCCAAGCGGAGAACCATTTGAGGGAGAAAATAAGCCCTCATCATCCATACCTTGCTCTCCTGCCCCCTCCTTTGGAGCTCCAGCTTCCACTTCATCCGTGCTGAACATCAATGTCGGTGGTCAATGCTACCACCTCACCTACCAGGCAGTGGCCATCTATCCAAAGACCCGCTTGGGCCGCCTGGCTACATCCACTGACCGCCGCTGCCAGCTGGGCCTGTGTGATGACTACGCTGCCCAGGTAGATGAGTATTTCTTTGACCGGGACCCAGCCGTCTTTCAGCTGGTGTACAACTTCTACGCCTCAGGGGTGCTGCGTGTGCGGGACGAGCTGTGCCCCCGTAGCTTCCTGGAGGAACTGAGCTACTGGGGCGTGCGGCTCAAATACACACCTCGCTGTTGCCGAATCTGCTTCGAGGAGCGCCGTGATGAGCTGAGTGAGCAGCTGAAGGTCCAGCGTGAGCTGCGCTCCCAGGCAGAGGCTCAGGAGAATGAGCAGCTCTTCCATCACATGCGCTATTATGGTCCTCAGCGCTGGCGCCTCTGGAACCTCATGGAGAAGCCCTTCTCCTCTGTCACTGCCAAGGTGATGGCAGTGGCCTCCAGCTTCTTTGTGCTCATCTCTGTGGTGGCTCTGGCACTCAACACAGTGGAAGAGATGCAGCAGGTAGACCGTAAGAGCGGGGAGAACCGGCCTGTCTTGGAGCACATTGAGACCCTGTGCATCGCGTTCTTTACACTGGAGTACCTGCTGCGCTTGGTCTCTACCCCAGACCTGCGCCGCTTTGCCAGCAGCGCCCTCAACGCAGTAGACCTGATTGCCATCCTGCCCCTCTACCTGCAGCTGCTGCTTGAATGCTTTGCTGATGATGACCAGCCCCGAGGTCGGGGCTCTCAGCACGAGCATGATATCGAGAAAGTGGGACGAGTTGGCAAGGTGGGGCAAGTGCTTCGCATCATGCGTCTCATGCGCATCTTCCGCATCCTCAAGCTGGCCCGCCACTCCACAGGGCTGCGTGCCTTTGGCTTTACCTTGCGCCAGTGCTACCAGCAGGTGGGCTGCCTTTTGCTCTTCATTGCCATGGGCATCTTCGCCTTCTCTGCCATGGTCTACACAGTGGAGCACGATGTCTCCAGTACCAACTTCACCAGTATCCCCCATGCTTGGTGGTGGGCTGCCGTAAGTAAACACATCTTACCTTGCTGGGTAGGCAGAGACCCTCCCTCCCTTCCCCTTTCCTTTCTTGCTAGAATGGCTGACAGTCTTGAAAACAGCAGGCTCAGATCAGTGAACATCTGTTCTGAATTCTGAGCTTAAGGACATATGCACTCACTCACACACGCACACACACACACACTCACACTCATTTACCCCTGGTGTAAGCTTAAATCGAGGATTAATCAGACAGGCAGTGTTGAAATTCCCATCCAATCAAATGCAGACAGTACTTGCACTTTTAAAGAAGTGCATTTAATCCCGTTCTCAGTGTTGCCAAATTAAAAAAAAAAAAGACAAAAAAGATAAAAATGTGCATCGGACTAATGATTGCAGGTAGACAGGATTTTCGTTCTTGCCCTTTTCAGAGCTCTACTGTGGCCCATCATACAACTGCAAGATGAGAAGACATGGCTATTAACTATAGTCTGGTCACTGAAACTTGCAAAGGCAAAGGTGTCCCAGAACTCTGGCCTTCAAAAATATATTAGGACCAACAGTTGTTTTATATAAGAGATTGTGTTCTACTCTTCAGGTAGCACATCTAAGGCACATATCTGCAGAAAGACAAAACACTGGAGGTTATATATACTGTGCCAGACTTACAGAAGAATAAATACAAACAGAAGCAGAATGGCTCAAGTAATTGATGATGGGATAAACTGCCTTATACATCTAGGTCAGTGGTTTGAATCCCACATCAGTAAATACTGAGAGCTGGTTAATGTCACATTCAATCTTTTCTTTTTTTTTTTGCAACCTCTGCTAGAAAGAGTGTGATTTTAGTCCCATCCCAAGCACTTGTAGTGAGGGTAACTGTCTGAGTTTCAGCTGACAAGCCTCAGCGATAAAGAGAGAATGACTGTCTAGAGATGCCACTGGGTTAGTGCTCTGAGGCATCTGGGCACATCTTGAGGGGTCTGAACCATCACTGGTGTTTACTATACTGTGTTATGAGGAGGAGTGTTTTTGAGGCAGCATTTTCCAGGCTGTTGGGTTCACCAGCATTTTCCAGGTGTTATCAGTGTTGTTCTCAGGCTAAAAGTCAAAAACACAGGACTGTACCAGCTACTAAGGAGAAAAATGACTGCTATAGTGGAACCTAGCACACAGCGGCATGAAGATTCAGCCAGGAACACAAAGATGTGAGAGTTTAATGTCCTCCACCTGCTGTAAATGCCTCCTGGCTCTAGCAATGTCCTAACAGGACTGTTCTAGCACCCCAAACCTGGAATTCCCCTCATAAAGGGTTTCATAAAGGCTTTAATTCATAAAGGGTTTGGAAAGCAGTTCAACTCTAGACTTGGATTGCATTAACACCCAAAGATAGGCATATATTCACTTATAGGAGGCTAACCAGTATTTCTTGAACTATTGTGAGATAAAAAGGATAATTATACTCTTCAAGGTGAGCTGTGAAGACAAAACACTTTTAGGTTTATCAAGGCTAGCAGGTGATGGAGAGGGAGCTGTAGGCTGTAAGTAAATGCTTAGGAGATAATCTTCATGCACAAGCATGGCAGTTTCACAATTCTCATTTTTACAGCAATGTTTTGGCAGGAAAAGGGGTGGTTTTATCAAGCGCATTGGGGAGAGGGGGATGTTGATCCCTGCCTATGCTGCTGCCTGTAACATTTCAGAGCTGGAACACAACAGCTCTGTTATATTGCAGAAGATGTGTCTATGACAGTCTGGATTAAATCAGAGTGCAGCTAGACACTGCAGGTGCTGAGAGAAGGCAAAAGGCCTGTATCTTGGCTGTCCATAACTCTAAGGCTTGTTCTAGTCTATCATCATGTACATTTTGTTTTGCAGCAGCTGATGAGGGTCTCCATAATCCATGTTTATGGCAGGGCCCCCAGGAGCACTTCTGACCTCTGGTTCTGGCTATGGGGCTGGCTATGTTCCAGTTGCTCCCAGGAGAAAGAAGCCCATGCAAATGGACTGGAAGGGAGTCAGAAGATCTCTTCATGCTAGTTGATCAGCATAGGAATTGGATGTACTGAGCTGTGTATGATGCCCACAGGACATTGACCCTACCTCATCCAAAGCCACTTATCCTGGCCAGCAGCCCCAAGGATCCATGGCCTGCACTTCTGGTTCAGTGATGGCTGATGTGATGTGGTGGTTTCCCATACGTATGTTTTAGTGATTCAGCAGATGCAGAAAAACTGGCCCTATAGACACTCACAGACATTTATATATATATATATATGCATATGCCTGTGCGATGAATATCCTTTAAACTGGAGCATGGGAAGGAAGAACAAATCAGTGAATAAAGGAAAGGGTCCTGTAATGTGATCTTCACAGGTCATCTTTAAGTCCTATACACAGATTATGAAAAAAATAGTGCTTCATACATTACTCTAATAAGGAAATTAGCGTTATACTTTGTTTTCGGAACATGCAGGATATAAGCAAAATCTCTAGGGCTCATCTCTGCAAGCTGGTGATACCATAATGATTTAAATACTCCTAAGAGACCTATATGACTATAACAATGTGAAAAAGGCCTATTAGGTAAGCAAGTGTCTTCAAAAGAGAGCTGTAACATGCACATTGTAATTCCAAGGCATAAAACTCCTTTTAAAGCTTATTCATTCTTTAAGAGTGAAAATTAATATCCATATCACTCAAATTTCATTAAAGTTCAAGTTCAACAGTGCTCATGGTCTCACACACACAGGAGAAGTATCCCTCCCAAACTGTCACAAGAAGATGTAGAAGACTATGCCAGTGGAACAAAACCTTATCACAGGATAATGTTTTTTTCCTGACTGGTAGAGATAAACATCTTGCCTTCATCTCAGTATTTATTTTTGGAGATATTTATCCTGTATTATCATTCAAATCCAGTGACTTAATTTCCATTAAACCAAGTGACTAATCCTTTTTATTCCACAGGAAGCACCAGGTGCATCCTACAAATGTGCTTACCCTGTGTTGTCTCATGTACCCTAATGCTTTCTTCATTTGAAATAACATTTTATTTATCGTATTAGAGGATGGCAGGCTGCACACTGTGACCTTCCAAAGACTTATTTCAGTGCTGAAGCCAGAAGGGCATTACAGTGATAGTCCTACTGCCTTTTATTTCTGCCAAAGGTTTCACAGATACACAGTGTGTTGAGATACTGTGGGGAAAAACAAAAAAAGGAAAGAAAAAAAATTATTGGCTGAAAAGGTCCCTTGCACAGACTAGGAAGTGCCAGATGGCAGAAGCCTGCAAGTTTTACCTGAGAAACATAAGTTTTATTTACTAAATGTGAAAATTATAAACAATCAAGATGTGTGCAGAGGAAGGGTATAAATTAGGAGTTACTGTTATTAGGAGTTAGAAACAGGCTGACTGTTTGGGAGTACATAATTCATATGTAGCATCCCCATATGCAAACGTCCATGAAATTTTGAAACTGAATTTTACAAAGAAAGTATTACAGTAGTTAGCGTAGTACTGGGTCCATACAAAACGCAGTTTTTCATACATTCGTAGTCTAAAAAGGGAAAATGCTGATGGCTGAGAAGAAAAAGTCCATGAAACTATGTAGACAATGTGATGGCAAAATGTACAGATTCATATAAAGTGCGTATACTAAATACCATCAGTCCCGCAAAAAAGAAAAACAAAAGTCTTAAACAATCCCCAAACACTTCTTCAAAGAGGAATTCAGGAAAAAAAATCCCCCCTGTGTACCTCCGAGCTAAACCGAACAGAAATATTCCCTACTGAAGGCACATATACACCTTACTCTTCTAACCTCTGACATATTTAGCTCTATAAATCTATATGTTGCAAGAATACACTGTGAGCAAAACCTTCCAGGCAATAGAGAAAGATCCTTTGTATTCCCTCAGCTCCTTAAAGGTATGTAACAATTAAAGGGGATTTTACCTAGAAACTTCAAAATCCTGGGTCACTTCTTATAGAATAATATATAACATTATAAAGATATATTTCACAATTAGCTAAAGGTTTTCATGTGTTTTTTCATTAGTTCCTAAAATATATATGATAAACAAAGGTAATACGCAAAATACTACTCACAGAATAAGTCACAAAATACCAGATTTCATAAGCACACTGGATTTAGACACAGGGCATCTGTTCCAAGCAATATGATGAGGGAGCAGGGCTGTCGTTATCACTGGATTTGCACGGTCAGGAAGCCATCTCTCTCATCCGCTCACCACAGCCAAGAAAACCCACTTACTGAGCAGGCTGGTGTGGAAATTGCTTGGTAATTCCTTCTGCCAGACAAAGCTTTTGAAAATCCTGCTGGATCGTGTCAAACTGCACTGTTGTCCTTCTTTACTGCATGAGAGGAATTATTATTTATACTAGGGATTTTTGCATTAAATGGATAGTACAGAAAAAAAGTCAGCAGAGAGTATTTCAGATTTATGATGTGAAGTCTAAAAACGCTAACTGTAAAATTGTCCCTGATCCCCGAATTGTATGTCTTCTCAGCTAATAAGCTGAATGTTTGTTTGTCCGTAGGTCAGCATCTCTACAGTGGGATATGGAGACATGTGTCCAGAAACTCACCTTGGCCGCCTGTTTGCTTTCCTCTGCATTGCGTTTGGAATAATCCTGAATGGCATGCCCATCTCTATTCTCTACAACAAATTCTCAGACTATTACAGCAAGCTGAAGGCCTATGAGTACACAGCTCTCAAGAAAGAAAGGGGGAAGGTGGACTTCACACGGAGAGCCATGAAGAAAATATCTGAATGCTGTGGAGAACATGCAACCCACTCTTTGTCACAGCACTGAGTTTGGGCTTTGGGTACTGGGAGGGAACAGGGAAGCTGAAGAAGAAAGAGAAACAGATCAGCCAAGCTAGCTGAAGATAAACTGAAAAGGCCAAAAGTAGATGGCAAAATCTGATTTGAAGGGGGTTGTTTTCAATAGAAAACAGGCTTAGATTACAACAGATTTTTTTTTTAGATTTTTTTTTTTTTTTTTTTTTTTTTTGGCTTTCCCAGGCTGTGAGCAGCACTTTAGTGTTCATCAACTGTCTGGGATGGTATTCTTCAGGTTAACCACCTAGAAACTCTAAATTAGGCCTACATGAAAAGGTAACCCCTGCTACTGATTAGACCCACTATAAAGACCCATCATAATCAAACCAAAGGAAAAAAAAAATGCTTCCATTAATTATCAGCCACCTCACAGCTATCAAGGGAGTCTCAAAAATTAAACCAACAGAATACCCAATATACTGACTGCATTGCTGAAACTGGTTTTGCATTAGCTTTCAAGCCCAGGAAAACAGCCTCCAGCATTTATCTGATTATCAGCATCTATATTCTTTAAGCTTTAAGCTTCTGTTTCCACAGCCAGACAGCTATGCTTCATTGTTCCAATTTTATTTTTCAAATGCAGCCCTGCAAATCATTCCCATTTTCATGCATAGGCAAGCAACGCATTGCTTTTAGTATTTCACTACCACCACCTCCATAATCATCTTTCATTATGCCAAGAACTAGTGAAGAAGTCTGCAATCAGAGTCAATAAATGTCATTGATAATTTTGAAAACACTTTTAAACCACAACCTTCTTTAGGTATAGGATTAGGTGATGAAGTAAATCTATTTCGCAGCATTTAATGTATCTACTTATGAACTGTTAGAAAAATAATAAGCCCATCAGGAGGCATAAGTGTTAAAGCAGCATTTAAAAAACAAGAAGCAAATGAAACATGTAATGGATAATACATCACAAAGACTTTTCATACAAAGGATCTTATCAGCACTTATCTGTAACAAATTTAAAATATAAACTAAAATCAAGATACTTTGCCTGGTATGTACAGTCATTAAGGACACAATTCTGACACCTTAGCTTAATCCCAGTAGTACCTTACTTTCTAAGACTACTGAGCCTTCTTGTACATCTGGATACAATTTCTTATGCGTCAGAAACTCACCCCAAAATATAGGCAACAAATAACAACAACAACAATTAAATGGAATCACAGTTTTATGTATTAGTTTGCAACGCATTGGAGTATTCTTTTTACGTAAAAGCAGTCATATCAGTTTAGAAATAACAACCTAAACAACAGATCTGAAACAATAGTTATTTTATTGATAATCAGATACAAATGGAATTAAAAGGAGGGTAACAAAAAGAAGCGACGGTAATAGCCACTGGTACAACCCATGGCTGTTACTCAGCAGTGCTCTTGCTTCAAAACAGCCTGATGGCAGACATGCATTTTAAAATATTTTAACTCTCACGTTGTGTCTGTGCTGCCCTGCTTAATGCAAATGGCTGCATTCAAATCTCAGAGCCACTCTGCAAACAGTGGTGTGAGGCTCACTCTTGGGACAGCTGAAGGTGAAGAAGTTCAGTAATTTTTCCAGGTTCATGCAAATTGTGTCAATCATACAGATACTTCTCCTTTCAGTGGTGAGAAGGTGATTAGTAACCAAGTTATTCTTCTCATTCTCTGCCTCCAGACAAGCATATCATAAGCCCATCTGTCATTTTGTTCTTTAGGAATGACAGCACATCGTGTGCTGATCAGCTCTGTTAAAAGCTAAACCATGCCTTTAAGGCACAGCTGAGCCCTGGAGTCAAATGTGATAGATGCTTGCTGTTCTGCACTGCACATAATGAAGCAGGCTCAATCCTGGCACTCACTGAGAAGAATAGCTGCTTTACTGTGGCTCTAGGGGTGGTATGAATTTGCATGGTGCTTCTGCACAGCAGCAACAGCACAAGGAGCTTCCCGAAAACACACAGGAAACCTCCCTCTCAATTCAGTGTGGTGGCAGGTTACAAGCACGCAAAACCACACTGGGCTTTATTTTCAACATGCAGATTGGGTTAGATCCATTAAAAGGACTTAAATGTTGGCAATTACTCAGCTTTTCAAGATATGGGGCACCCTAAATTAATATTTATTTATTTAAATTTATTTAAAATTACTGAAGGAATCAGTACTTGCATGTACCATGTAGATGGGATACAGATGCTCAGCCTTGCATGGCAAGCTCAGCAGCTTCTTGCTACATAAGGAATCCAGACCCTGAGCAGCTACCTGCTGAGGCTTGACTTCCTCACAGCCTCAGACCTGACACAAATCACCAGCCTCATTTTCCACCCCACTTGCCTCACCTGCTGTGGCCATTCAAGTAGATGTTCTTCTTTGTAAGTGAACAGGCTTTCCGCACAAAGCATGAGCAAAAGAAAAAATGGACTGTTCCCTCTTTGAATCAGGAGTCGGAACTGAATGTCCTTAACAAGCACTGTCTTTTCTGTCCAACAGGATTTTAGCACAAGAAGTCCCATAGTACTGCTCTAACCACTCGCACACAGCCTGGAGTGGGTCTCTCCCACCCCTCTAGCTGAAGCTGTTCCACTTCGCACTATGCAGATAGCGACCCACCAGGTGACAGTTAAAGACAGACCCTACAGCTCGGTTTTGGCTGAGTGGAAAGGTGTTGGTCACAGGCCCTGCTTCAATAAACAGCTATGAACATACCTTGACCAAGCAGGACAATCTTCCCACTCACTCTCCTCTGGCCCAAGCAATCTTCGGCTGAAAGGATTTAGTCTAGAAGGACTCCAGAGTCAGTCTCTGCACACTGCAGCCACACAAAGGGAAAACTCTTACTAAGAGTACTCTACAGGCTAATGGCCATGGGCCAAAACACTGCCTGAGGTGGAGGAAACCCATTTCTGGCCCCTCAGGAGAAGAAGACATTGTAAGCAGTACCACTAGGCACCCATCTGGGTGTTTTGAACAGCAAGGCCATCACACCTTCGGCAGCTCAGCTTACCTAGCAGCTGCTTCACTTTCCTCTTTCTCAGTTCACTTTGTCCTTTCATCCCTCCGCCATCCAGTCCCACCATCTCAGTGATGCAGCTTTGGTACTGCTCTGATTCCTCTATGCACTGACTCAGCACACAAATGTGACAGTTTGGGGGACCAGGACTAGATTCCTGATTGGTGACCTTGCTCAGTTTAGAGAGCTCTGACTAATGTTAGAGCTGGCACAAGATACATGGTAGAAGTGTGCGCTCCGGAGGACAGGCCTCTGGCAACTACCACATGAGCTATTAAGCGGAAAACAACACAAACTTGCTGGTTTTCTGTTTTGTAATATGTGGCCCACCCACCCCATTGCATTCAGCAGGTGAACGGGTCTTTGGTGGAGTAAGGGATTTTCCAGCAAACTACAAGTTAGTGTTTGGTTGCATTTGTTTTTGTTTTTCAACCAAAGACTCATTATTTTCTTCTCCAGATTACCTTGTGCAGCTTTCTGCCTTGCAGCTTAACTAACGTTATTTTAGGGGTGACAAGTGTGTTTGCATTTCAACCGAAGAGAGTATGCCTGAAGTTGAAGTAACACTATACCAGCCAGATGCTGCCCAGAATGCTCAGCCTCTGTCAGAACCAGCATTTTCTGTGGATGGTTACTAGCAAGGTCCTCTCACAAGTTCCTCTACCCCTGTGAGAACCTGCCTGAGGCTTATACCATACAAAGAGGACCTCCAGCCAGCTCAGAGGAAGAAAGGAGTTCATATTCCCACAGAACAAACTTCCGACAGCCTGCAGAAGGCTGTGCAGACCTGTGTCAGCTGGGTTTAAAATAGGATGCAGCATTTTTGCCTTTTTTTTTTTGTGTTGACACAATGATTCCTTCTGAGAAAGTCTCTCAGTTAATTTATTCTGCCACATCCACTAAGATTTTCAGTGGCATCATCAGTGGCCCTGGATTACTCAAATGAAACTGTCAACATGATGACATCCAAAAATAATGCAGAAGGGCTGTGATCGTCTTAGTAACTGACACGTGAATGCACGTTTCAAATTTTTGAAATCAAAAGATTTCAAAATAACCACATTAAGGGAAAATATGCTTAAACACAACAAAGATGGGCAGCATTACTAAAGCTAAAGTAGATACGGCTTGTTTTATGAGATGGTAATTTGGCATAGTTAAGGTTTTGGGGAAATAGGCTGGAGGATTCTTGAGAAATTAGAAACCTCTCTGAATGTGGCCATACTGAAGTCTTCTACTTTAACTAACTGCAGGCACTAGTGAGCCCCAGAGGGAGAAAGACAACATGTTCTGCCTTTATGTTTCACTACAGACTCAGCAAATATGTTGTCTCCGGAGAAAAAGAAAACAGTCAGTTTATCTGGATGGCCTGGCTTTACTTTACGACAACTAAGCGTTGTTTTGTCTACTTGTTTTAGACCTAGGAATTATTGGAAAAATAATTTAAAAAAAAAAAAAGAGCTAGAGAAAATATTAAAGAGGAGAAAAGGGAAAGGAAAAAAAAAAGAAAAAAGAAAAGAAAAAAAAAAAATAAAGGGGATTATGTAGAAATCTAGAGTCTGTCCCTACATGAGACAGTGGAAAGGATTCTAAGTAGAATATGCTTTTGCACAAATCCTTGTCTGAGAAAAGCATCACTTTTTTCAATGCAATTCAGCAGCTGTTTGCCTTTCTCATTCAGGAAGATAGAATTTAAAGGGGTAGCTACAGTAAACCACAGATTAATCATCATCTGGTGCTATTTCCAGGCTTCTAAGGCAAATAGTAATATTCAGTCTGTAAGTATGTATAATTTTTGAGATTATAAACTAGGTGTACTTCAAAGTTTTTGGAGAAAAAGAAATACTATCAATAAGCCTAGGAAGGAAAAACTGTCTCGTTATTTAAAAGATAGCTTCGACTTTTTAAAATGTTTCAGGTTTATGTTATGTAAAAATATTTGATTCATGCTTATCTGCTATTCTTTATTCAGTAATAGAGAAATTACATGGCATGTGACTGTAATCCAGCTCTTTACCTTGGACTGAAAAAGAGAAAGGTCAAGCGTACTAGCTTTTTATGTACTTAGGTAATTCAATAGAAATAAACTGAGAAAAATTAAAGCATTTTACAGGTACCTCCTAAGATAGAGATTATGAAAGTTTTTAAATAAAACTGTCTGGGTCTAATTCCACTCCATAAAATGACTCCGTACTGTCATTCTAACTCCTGAAGCAGATTTGCTCAATTTATAAACAAAAGCATTTCCCCCCGATTAATAACCAGCTAAACAAGTACCGCCCTTAAAAGTCAGCCTTTCACTACCATTGCTCTTCACGCCACCACATAACGCTATTACCTCCACCGGTTCTGGCAGAGGAAACTGCCTGTAAAGCACTTGTACTACCAGCTGGCCAAGACACAGCAGAACCTGCTTTGGCTGCAAAGCTAACTTAGCTCTCTAGCTCTCACATGGCTTAAACCAGCTCGCACCATCACTGAAAATGTCTGCCTGCAGAGGAACTCTTCAACAAGGGGCAAGTAAAAAAAAAAAAAAAAAGAAAGAAAAGAAAAAAGATCCGGAAATTCAGGAC